GGGGCCGGCGGGCCGCGGAACCGTCGCCTTGCAGACTGACGCACGATAAAGACCGCCTTCGAGCCAGCCCCCAGCCTTATTCCTCACTCCGCCCCGCAGTGCGGTATAAGTAGTGTCCAGCAAAAAACTGGCAACTCCCGGAGCCAATCCACTTCCCGCCCTTACCTCAATGGCCAATGAAGACGAAGGAGAGGCATGGCGACGACGGGTAACTCCTCTGGGGCTTGCACTACTAGAGGGACGGCTCCTCCGGAGGCGGGCAGATAGGGCGGGCCCAGGCGAGGCGGAAGTGATGACGCCTGCGCGCTGGGGCCAAGCGTCGCGAGGTGGACCACTACTCCCAGCAGGCTCCACGCCTCCGGCGCCTGCGCCTCTCGCCACCGCCCTCCTTTTGTGTTGCCTTCTTCAGCTCACTCTGGAAAGGCTTGGGGACAAAGGGCCCGGGGAGGAGAGCCGGTATTCAGGGCCGGACCCGCGGATGGCGGGCCGACTGGAGCGATCGCTCCCCTGACCCTCAGCCCCTCGCTGCCCCCGGCCCTCCACGCCTCCCCCGGACGGCCGCCCTCCCCTCCCCCACGCTCCTAGAGCCAGGGTTTGGAGGAGCCGTTGCCTAGACGACGGGCCGGACCGCCCCCTTCCGGCCCAGGCCCCGCCCTGGGCGTGGCCACGCGGACCCTCTACCGCCTTTGTCCTGCTGGGGCTGCGGTCCAGTTCGGTCGCTTTTCGCTGCTGCGGCTTGTCCTCGATACCCTGACGTCGGCGATCCGCCCCGGAGACGCTCGGCGGCTGGCTGTCTCGGGAGCCAGCCGCGGAGTATACCGCATCCTGGCGGTGCCAGGTCTTCCAGCTGGGACCTCCAGCAACCTCCTGGTGCAGAACCAGACGCAGGGCCTTTTCAGTTTAAGCGGGTACTGTGCGGCCTCTGAAGCCAGCTGCGATTCTATAAGTATTCTGTGCAAGCCAGTGAAATTTGTAAAATTTAGAAACTTGTGCATTAGCCACCGGGGTGCGCGCTGCAGCCACGCACGGGGTATTTTATTTTGTGATGGGGCCGTCGGTGCCTCCCTTCTGACTAAAGTGTTTGGAGTCGGGTCGTTCCGCCGGAGCGTGGCGGCGGCGCTAAAGGACAAATATTTTACACCGCGAAGTATGTGGATCCCCATCTTGGTCTGGATACCCTTCACCAACGCAGCAGAGGAACGTTCACTCTGCTCTAAGGCGAATTGGTTATTTTACCAATTCGCACTTCCAGTTTGGGCCCAAGAAAGAGCAAATGAAAAATAGAGAACTTTAACTTTTTACAAGAAAATATTGGCCACCAGTCTGCACAAAACACTGACATATGGAAACCAAAACAGTGCAGAGAGCTACAAGATTGAATTTTTAAAATTGTGTCTTTCGCAAAGAGCATATAAGTAAAAATACAGCAGTAAGAGACTTTTAACTCTGTCACTGGGAGCATGAACAGCGTTTATCTGGGGTCGTTAGTAAGTGTTGGATCATGGCGTAGTGGTGCACGCCTGTAACCCCACTCCTCCAGAGGCTGAGGCAGAAAGTTTGCTCAGCCTGAGCTACATAGTGAGTTTGAGGCCAGGCTTAACTACTTAGGGTCCCCGTCTCACTAAAAGTTTTTAAAATGTTAGAATTAATTTACTCCAATAAGCTAGAATTTGGCCTGTGTTAATTTCAAAAAGTCACGATGCTGTCTGAATGATTATTGCGTCTTTCTCTTGTTCACGGACTTCACAGACACATGAACCAAAAAGGCATCTTGCTGTTTAGGTAGAAGTGCTAGGCTGAGCCAGCTCCAGTCTGCGAGGCATGCACTCTGAAGCCAGCATAACTGCCTCCCATGCGGGGAACCCCGCGGTGCATGAGTGGTTTCATAGAGCCACCCTTGGCCAAAAAGTGGTTTCTTGCATAAACTTAGAAGACCAATAAATGAAGTATAGCATCTACTCTGTCTTTTAAATACGCCACTAAGGACAAATATTTAACTTTGAAAATCTTGACTGTTTCAGGTTTGACCTTTGTACACCAAAAGTAGGTATTAAAACTTTTAGCTAAAGAAACATCTGGGAGCAGGAATGTAGCTTGGTGGTAGGACATGTTCCTGGCATGTCCCTGGTTCAATCCTCAGCACCAAGCAATCAATCAAAACAGGTTTCTGGTAGAGATGCTCAAAGCTGTTGGAATAAAACGTAAGGGATGAGCACAATTCTTTCTTTTGAGGTGCTTAAATACTAGCTTCATCTGAAACTTGAAATGCCATCAACATTACGGTGCTGTAATCCACTCTACTTTGGATTTGCAAGATTTTCCCTCAGAAGGAAATGTCAGCCTGAAAACTACACTTCGTTGTCGTTAAAGACTGAAAATGGCATTTATGATTATCTTGGAATCATTATTTCTAATTCTCTTCTTGTGGCCCACATTGCAGAGTAAGGTGACTTTTAAAGTTAGGGGAAAAAATAAGGCAGGGGAAAAAGGCTCTGCAGCGTGAGCTTAGGCCAAATAAAATTAGGAGGGAAAGGAAGAAAACATAAAAGTCCACCCTACAGCATAGGGTGGGCTACAATGAAGAAACGGGATAGGCAGGTGACTTTCGTAGGCTTCTCCGTCCGGGTCTGTGTGCCGGTGACATCCCAGACGCTGTCACTAGATTAGATTCCGCCACGCGCATGCCTCCAGTATGCAAGAGAACCAATTTACTCATTAAATAATGGGTTATGTTTATCATTGCGTTGCACATTCCCAAAAGCATTAAGAACATAGCATTGCTGCCAGTTAATGACTGAACACAGGACTGATTTTCTGAGGACAAGAGATACCACTGTCGTTCTCAAAGTAATGATTTCTTGTAGCCCAGCCCATCGTGCTGGCTGCCCAGACTCAGGCGCGGGCTTTGGTTTTCGGTGTCACCGAACCTGTTCTTGAGACAGAATTCTCTTTTTTTTTTTAGTACCGGGGATGGAACTCGGGTCCTTGTGCTTGCAGGGCAGGCGGCGGAACCACTGAGCTAAAACCCCGGCGCCGAACCTGTTCTTGCTCGCTCCACCGCGTGTCTCACCGCCCAGACTCGGACCCCGCTGAGGAGGGAGGAGTTCGGACCGCTCAGCGAGTTCCCGTCTGGGCTCAGTGCGGCGGCCAGGGTTCCCGGCCTGGGCTGTGCGGAGGGGAGCGCCCACGCC